AATACTATCCAAAAGATGTATATTTCAAATAAGAGGGAGACCATGACATTTCTAAAGTGTCTTTTTTAATAAGCCTGTAATTGAGATAAATTGGAGTGAAGAAAATATTAAAACCAGAAGCTGGAAGAGAACAAGGCACAAAAGAAACAATACACAGATGGGGAACGTAGAAACCCTCCAAAGTCAGGGCCTGGTGAACCCTGTGTTGAATCTGTTAAACTCCTTTCCCTTAGTTCCTACAGAGCTCAACCCTGCATCCAAGAATAGTTACTGCCATCTTGTTCGGTACCAGCAAGTTTTATACCATCCACCTTTAGTTCAGATTCTGTCATTTCCAGGAAATGACCATCATTAATGTCCACATATCTATAATCTAAAGTTTCTGCATAATTGTTTTTGTTTGGTTTGGTTGGTTTTCTTCAGAAAAGAATCCAGTGCAAGAGTGACATTTGTGTTTATTCTCAAATACCCAGTCAAGTTAAAAAACATAAAAGAAGGCTGGCTGGTTGCAGAATATATGAAGCATCCAAAGATCCTGAGCTTTTGCGTTTTCACCAGGGTTATGTAAAATCACAGACAATCTAGATCATACATATGAATCTGGATCTCCAGAGAATCACTTTTGCTAACACTAATACCTTACAAAATTATCTTCCAATAAAGATATTTACGTTTTGTTTGAGAAATTTCTATTAGTACGTATGTAGAATAATCACTGTGATAGTTCAGAAGGCTAGCTTTACTTTTCATTTGAGAAAATTGAAACTCCCCAGACGGAAGAAGAAGTGGGCTCGCCATAACAGTTTGGGTTTTGGAGTCAGACAAACTTTGATCACCGATACAATTCACATGCTCTTTGATCTTTCATACTTTTTCAATGGCAACTGACTCTTGATGCTAACATTTGTCAACAGGGATAGCTGCATGCTACCTTTATTATGGAGTAACTGGGATACTTACACAAGGCACTCTGTAAATTGTATCCATGATAAAATACATTTCTATGACTATTACTCATAGCTATTAGCATTGGGACTAGAACCTAAGCAGGCTGAAAGTGCTCTCTATCCTGATTCTACCCCTTGAAAAGCTCAGCATACCTCAAAAATACAGTGCTATTTAGACAACAAAGAGGATAGAGTAAGCGCTTGTTTTCTGTTTGTTTTTAATTTCATGAATCCGTATTTTAGTGAAAACTCTGAATTTAGAGATTTGCAGATTGGCAGGACGTATTTTAAGGTAGATGACAAATTATATCAACAGATTAAAAACATTAGAAAATCCTTTGGTGATGTGTCAACAGTCCTTATACCAACTGATGCTGTTCTTAGTAAGGTTGATTGTACAAACACTTTTTATAATCTATGTGTTAATCTATGTGTCAAACTGTAGCAAGAAGAATTAGAACAGAGAAATGACTTCCCCTTAATACTGTAACAGCATGGGATCAGCAGGTGGTGTATTGATTATGTAGCTGGACTCCCACATAGTGGACAGTGGTTCGAGTCCCAGGCCTGGTGGCTTAAATCTCACGCCGGGCACCTGTGTGTATGTGCCCAAAATCCCAAGAGGAGAAGGGAGAAGAAGGGACTGTTATATGGCCATCCCCCATGGAGGGAAATTTCTCATTTTCTGTCTCTCTGTCTCTCTGGTGAGTACATGTGCCCTACAGCAAAAGTCTCTCTCTAAAACAAATTTTAAAAATACTCAAATGGCATGAACTAGCAAAATGGCATTAGAAGAAAAAACAACCACTCAAAAAAATAAAATAACAAATGTAACATTATGTTTGACCAAACAAAAGTTAAATACATCAAGCAATTTTAAAAATCCAAATAATTAAACAAGAACTTAGATTCCCAAACACAGTTTACTTCAATGATAAATATGCTAGGCTCTCTCTTGTAATAAACTATATTGACTAGGAATGAAGAGATACGTATATAATTACATTGATGGAGCTGCAGCACAGGTAAGTACGAGGAGAATTATATAGAATTATAATTGTAATCTAATTATTTTACTAGAATGTTTTCCCCATGAAAAGTAAATAAAAATCCAGAAGCTACAAGATAACTTTGAGAGCGATCGGTACATTCATTAATTCCAGTACTGCTAAAAATATTAGTGCATTTATTGACATGCTCAAAAATAAGGTTTACATTTTCTCATCTATAGTTGTTCACAAAATGTATCAAAGTAGCAGAGTTTTCCAGATGTTTACTACATAAATAACACCCACAATATCATTTTACACTCTCACGAAAGTAGTCCTATTCTTGGAAATTGAAGTAAACTTGCATACAAATGCCTGTAGTAAGTAGAAGAATTTAACCAGTATGTGAAACAGGCCTCTGGTTTGTGTCTGGTTCAGAATATTTATCAACAGCTGGAAATCTGGCCTTTCCAAAACATGCATGCATTTACATCCTAGCGAACTGTTTATCTCAATTCAAAAGATCACTTATTAGAGCTTATCCATGTATTTGCTTATTTGCAATTGCTTATTAAAGGAGATCATAGCTATTAGCATTGGGACTAGAACCTAAGCAGGCTGAAAGTGCTCTCTATCCTGATTCTACCCCTTGAAAAGCTCAGCATACCTCAAAAATACAGTGCTATTTAGACAACAAAGAGGATAGAGTAAGCACTTGTTTTCTGTTTGTTTTTAATTTCATGAATCCGTATTTTAGTGAAAACTCTGAATTTAGAGATTTGCAGATTGGCAGGACGTATTTTAAGGTAGATGACAAATTATATCAACAGATTAAAAACATTAGAAAATCCTTTGGTGATGTGTCAACAGTCCTTATACCAACCGATGCTGTTCTTAGTAAGGTTGATTGTACAAACACTTTTTAAAATCTATGTGTTAATCTATGTGTCAAACTGTAGCAAGAAGAATTAGAACAGAGAAATGACTTCCCCTTAATACTGTAACAGCATGGGATCAGCAGGTGGTGTATTGATTATGTAGCTGGACTCCCACATAGTGGACAGTGGTTCGAGTCCCAGGCCTGGTGGCTTAAATCTCACGCCGGGCACCTGTGTGTATGTGCCCAAAATCCCAAGAGGAGAAGGGAGAAGAAGGGACTGTTATATGGCCATCCCCCATGGAGGGAAATTTCTCATTTTCTGTCTCTCTGTCTCTCTGGTGAGTACATGTGCCCTACAGCAAAAGTCTCTCTCTAAAACAAATTTTAAAAATACTCAAATGGCATGAACTAGCAAAATGGCATTAGAAGAAAAAACAACCACTCAAAAAAATAAAATAACAAATGTAACATTATGTTTGACCAAACAAAAGTTAAATACATCAAGCAATTTTAAAAATCCAAATAATTAAACAAGAACTTAGATTCCCAAACACAGTTTACTTCAATGATAAATATGCTAGGCTCTCTCTTGTAATAAACTATATTGACTAGGAATGAAGAGATATGTATATAATTACATTGATGGAGCTGCAGCACAGGTAAGTACGAGGAGAATTATATAGAATTATAATTGTAATCTAATTATTTTACTAGAATGTTTTCCCCATGAAAAGTAAATAAAAATCCAGAAGCTACAAGATAACTTTGAGAGCGATCGGTACATTCATTAATTCCAGCACTGCTAAAAATATTAGTGCATTTATTGACATGCTCAAAAATAAGGTTTACATTTTCTCATCTATAGTTGTTCACAAAATGTATCAAAGTAGCAGAGTTTTCCAGATGTTTACTACATAAATAACACCCACAATATCATTTTACACTCTCACGAAAGTAGTCCTATTCTTGGAAATTGAAGTAAACTTGCATACAAATGCCTGTAGTAAGTAGAAGAATTTAACCAGTATGTGAAACAGGCCTGTGGTTTGTGTCTGGTTCAGAATATTTATCAACAGCTGGAAATCTGGCCTTTCCAAAACATGCATGCATTTACATCCTAGCGAACTGTTTATCTCAATTCAAAAGATCACTTATTAGAGCTTATCCATGTATTTGCTTATTTGCAATTGCTTATTAAAGGAGATGAATACCAACATTAAGCATTTTTAGTGCTTGAAAACATGTCCCAAAATAAACCTTACGCTCATTGGAAATTCTTATTTCACTTTTACAAGGTTTACCTGCGTAATCAAACGCCAAGGAAGACTTGTGAATTTGACCTTTGTCATCCCATTTATCAGACTATTAACTCCGTCTCACATCCATTTTTAAAAGGTTAGAGTCTCCTCTGCAATGCCTTCTTCCAATTAAAATGAATAATACGCAAATGCAAGCACTGAAATGACTGCTCTTTGCTAGTTCGTATTTTAACAGCCTTGGAGATTAAAAAAACAAGTCTTAAGACTGTAACTTATTTGGAAATAACAAGTGTGTTTTTCGATGTTAATATAAATATTTGTAATCACTCACCAGAAAACTGGTAAGAATGCAAATGGTTAGTTTTTGTGCTCTCTAATACAAACAACATGAAATTATAGCAGTTGTTTTCTCTAATTATTCCCGATACTAACTTCTACATTTTCCGATTAATTTGTCTTTTATAATATATATTTCATAGAGTTCATCTCTGCAAGACCCAATTTTATGCAATTCTTAAACATAATTTTTCAAATGAGAACATTTCACTGTGTAATAAGAGCTCAGATTTATTGTACTTTTTTTTTTTGGAGAGGTTTTTGCTATAGAGTACGTGCGCTCGCCAGACAGACAGAGAGAGACAGAGACAGACAGAAAGTGAGAAATCACCCCCCAGGGGGGATGGCCACGCCACAATCCCTTCTCCTCCGTTTTCCTCTTGGGATCTTGGGAACGCATGCACACGCACCCAGCGTGAATTTTAAGCCACCAGGTCCGGGACGTGAACCATGGTCGACTACACAGGAGTCCAGCAACATAGCTGTAACGCCAACTGCTGGTCCCGATTTATTGTACTTTTGAGAAAATTACTCGACATATATAGGGATGCTCAGTATGAAAGTGGAATGCAGAGAGCTTTGACCTTACTTTTGTATTCCAGGTGAAAACCAGCAGCTGCCACACTAATATCGGATTGGAAATGCAAGTACAGTTGGTTGGAAGTGCTGTTCAGCAAGGCTGGCACTGTGGTACCTGTAAGAAACAATGGAAATGTAACCTCACCATTGCAAAGGTGTTCACTTCTCTAAACATCAAATGCATGAGAATATTTATTTAGGTTTATCAGTTCCCATAGCTTGTCTGACTGCTGCATATTGAATCTGAGTATTGGCTTTGATTATTATATGTTCAGAAAGATGTGCATCTGGCTTCCTAGATTCAACATAAAGTCATATATTGTTTTCTCTGCCCTTCCTACATAGATGTAATGTCTCTCTGTCAGACCAGTATACAAACACACAAACTTATACCTTAATAGCATTCGGTTTTCCATTGCTTTACCTTAATAATGTAATCTTCTGCTTTTTTTTTTTTTAAGAGACTTTTGGTATAGGGTGCATGCACTTGCCAGAAAGACAGAGAGAGACAAAGAGACAGAAAGTGAGAAATCATACCCCAGGAAGGATGGCCATGCTGCAATCCCTTCTTCTCCATTCTCCTCTAGGGATTAGGGACATGTATGCACATGTGCCTGGCATGAGTTTCGAACTGCCAGGTCTACACCTCGAACCCCAGTCAACTACGTGCGAGTTCACCTTAACCACTACATCATCTACTGGCCCCAATCTTTTGCCTTTTTAATTCGATTATTGGAAAAGTTGTGATGTATTTTTCTACGTTCTTCTGTGCAAAAATGTGTCATGATTTTTCCCATGACCCAATATTTATTTTTCAATGAAGAAGGGACAAAATGTCAACCCCCAAGTGGTATGAGGGTTGGAGGAGTAGTCAGACTGGATACAACTAGATGAATGCTGATCCAAATGTGTTATTCATAAGATGTTGCTTTTAAGTATTATTCTCCTTCTATTCCCTACATGAGTCACACTGAATAATGTTCCCACTGAGATCTGCGAATGATTTCAACTAAATGTGTGTGAAAAGGAAAATAGTGTTGTGTGTTTCTTTTTTAAATAATATTTCCTTTATTTAAAATTCCTAGCCTGCATTATAGTAGCTAACACATCAGGAAAATACAGATGCCAAGGACAAGGGTGGCAAAGAGATTATACCAAAAGGTGCTGAGGAAAAGAAAAGTGTTCATCACTCAAAAGTTTTGGGAAGATGTATCAAAATATGGAGAAATAATAAACAAGTTTCAATCTTTTTTCCCTGAAGTGTATATGATTACTACTCTACTGTATTGAAATAATGCCTACATTAGTATATGCAGACTAGATGTTTAGGAATGATCTTCTGTATAAATTTCATCATGGTGTGGGCGAACTACCAGAGTGAACTATTCTGAAGATAGCACTAGTGTGTAAAGAAAGAAATGATATTTTAAATAACAAAGCAAGGAAAGGAGTCGATAGTTAACTAAAACAGGTGAATGTCATTGAAAAACTAAGACCCTCTACCTCCCTTCACTCTCTATTTAAATGATTCTAATATTCTGCAATCATTTTAATTAAGCCAGTGAGTTCAGATGAGGACACCAGCTGTCTCTTTTAATCATTGGGTCATCCTAAGGCTCTGTAAACATGCAACTGCAAAAGAAAATTCATACCTTATCTCTACAACATCTGGTCAGTATCTGTGGTCTTGAGTTCAGCACACAATCAATATTTACCCCTGTCCTCACATTCAAAGCTCCCTTGCTATCTGTGACCCCATAATGTCCTCCAGTCAGTCTTTGAGCTTCTGACTATCCTGCTTCCTAAATATTTTTCTAAATTATTTGACTCGCTTCATCTCACCATTTTTACAACCATCACTCTGGTGCATGTCAGCAGTGTCATTAACCAGGAATCATGCAATAATCTCCTAACTTGCCCTAATCTAATTCACTCTCTTCTCAGCAGTCGGAAATCTCTTTTACCAATATATATGGCAGGTCATGTGGAAATTCTCATAGACTTCTGATCACCTCAGTACCAAATATCAGACTCTTTTTTTTTTTTTTTTTTTTTTGAGAGATTTTCACTGTAGGGCGCGTGCGCTCGCCAGACAGACAGAGAGAGACATAGAGACAGAAAGCGAGAAATCACCTCCCAGGGGGGATGGTCACGCCGCAATCCCTTCTCCTCCATTCTCCTCTCGGGGTCTTGGGCACGCACGCACACGCGCCCGGCGTGAGTTTTAAGCCACCGGGCCCGGGACACGAACCGCGGTCGACTACGTGGGAATCCAGCGACATAGCCATTACGCTAACTGCTGGGTCCCCCAAATATCAGACTCTTTTTTTTTTTTTTTTGAGAGATTTTCACTGTAGGGCGCGTGCGCTCGCCAGACAGACAGAGAGAGACATAGAGACAGAAAGCGAGAAATCACCTCCCAGGGGGGATGGTCACGCCGCAATCCCTTCTCCTCCATTCTCCTCTCGGGGTCTTGGGCACGCACGCACACGCGCCCGGCGTGAGTTTTAAGCCACCGGGCCCGGGACACGAACCGCGGTCGACTACGTGGGAATCCAGCGACATAGCCATTATGCTAACTGCTGGTTCCCCCAAATATCAGACTCTTTAAGTAGACCTAAAGATCCTTATGGTCTGACCATTGCTTGCATTTCTAGCTTCTTCTCACTAATTTCTTTCCCCACAATTCATTTCTTGCTTTAAATTTTTCCATAGTCATAGGCCTGGGATATTCTTTCCTTTCTACTCTCATCCATTCTGCCTTTCATATTCCTACTCATTCAATCACCTGTGCTTATTTCTATACTAAGCCACTCACTTACTCATCCAATAAACGTGTTTTTATCAGATAAATAAAACTATTAACCAACTCTCCAAACACAACAATTATTTTTTGACTTGATAAAAAGCAAAACATTATTTGATTAGGTCAGATCTTCAGAGACTTGAACTTAATTAAATTTTTAGCTATGATGAGCAGACCAATTTCACCCATAAACGTGCAACTGTTCCAGCTTTAATCACTCTCCTATTCTTCATCTCTACTCTTATCATCACCTCCATCTCTTCCCTGCATTAATGAAATAGCCATAAAATGATCTCCAGAATCATTATTTGCTTTTACCTATGTATTCATTCTGCACACACACAAAAAAATAATAATCTGTTCACAAACAGGCAATGCTTGCAAGTTTTATTTTCAGATATAGGTATAAGATATATATTTTAATTAAATTTTAAATCAACTTGAGTACCCCCTGAAGACACATCCTGTTGAGTTGGGGAGATTTAATCTCCATTATTACTGGGGATACCTTCTCTTCTCCAAAATAGCAAATACTCCTGAACTTTGGGTTCTCAGCTCCTTCTTCACACATACCCACTCCTCAAGTCTGTGTGGATCCTTGAAATCTAGTAGTTCCAGGACTCTGCACATTTTGAGAGAATGTTCTCTGCCAATTCCCAATCCTAAATTTTTCCATTCCAACTCCACCAGGTTATTGTTTTTCTTTCTGAGACTCTGGCATTTCCTAGTGGCACTGTAAGGAATTGCATTATAACTTAATTTCCTGGAGGCAATCTAGCCTTGGGAAGCTTCCTAGCCTTTTATTGTCAGTCACTCCAACTTTCCGAATATAAAGCCTTCACCACCATCTTCCTTGTTTTTAAACACTGAGCCTTTTGAAAGATGAAGCTGGGACCAGGTTTCCCTTCGGGCTATGGATTCCTGCTACATTTATACCCAAATTATGGACACCTAGACACTTAGCTCTCTCTTGGAACAAAACTGGAAATAATATCAGGGGAATTAGATGAAGTAATATCCCAGTGAAGTCTACTGTGACATGCAAGTGTTTTTGTTTGTTTGTTTTTACATTTTATTCAGAAGATGCATTAAGGACTTCTCATTGACTTTAGATCAATATACCAAATCTTTTATTGGGTTTACAAAGATTCACCCATAGCTTCAACAAGTGTTTTTATTAGCTAATTGTGGCGAATTAGTATCAAAACTGTTACTAGAATGTGTTGGATGAGGAATAGTGAAAAAATATAGGAGAGAAAATAGAAACATAGCCATTATGACTGGTGTGTGTGTGTGTGTGTGTGTGTGTGTGCACGTGTGTGCATGCTTGTGAGTGTGCAGGTATATGCATGTGTACCCACATGAGTCAGTGCTCATGCATGCACAGAGTCTTTGGAAGAAGTATTCCCTGCCTGAAATTTGGGGTCTAGGCCTTGATTCACTTTCTCCACCCACTGAAGGGAGTTGGCTCTAGGAGGCAGGGTTATTTAAGCTAGAACTATTAGAACATAATTCACTGTAAGAACAGTTTAAGTGTATGCTGAATGGTAAAGAAAATATTTGCCAATTTAACCCCTTTGTTGTTTGAACTTGGCTTGAAAGACAGGTAGATATAGATAGATTGTTTTTTCTGCTCATTTGTTTTTAGGTTTTTGTTTTTGCTCTTTGGCCATAGGGTATGTGCGCTTGACAGAAAGAGGCAGAGAGAGAAGGAAAATGAGAAATCATCTCCCCCTCCCCACTCCCTAGAAGGATGGCTATACTGCAACCCTTCTCCTCCAGTCTCAAGATTTTGGGCAACTCACGCACACATACCTGACATGTTTTTTAAGCTGCGGGGTCTGAGATTCAAACCACAGAGTCGGCTATGTGGGATCCAAAGTCATAACCACGATGCCATCTGCTGTCCCCAACAGATTGTTTTTGTTTTTGTTTTTTTTTGGAGAGGTTTTCGCTACAGGGCGCATGCGCTCGCCAGACAGAGAGAGACAGAGAGACAGAAAGCGAGAAATCACCCCCCAGGGGGGATGGCCACGCCACAATCCCTTCTCCTCCATTCTCCTCTCGGGATCTTGGGCACGCACGCACACGTGCCCAGCGTGAGTTTTAAGCCACTGGGTCCGGGACACGAACCGCGGTCGACTACGTGGGAGTCCAGCGACATAGCCATCACGCTAACTGCTGGTTCCCCCCATAGATTGTTTTTTACTTAATCAAACAACCATTGAAGGAATCAACTGTAAGCCAGTCAGTACAGATATACTAAAGAGAGGTTTGAAACTACATGACAGTTAATGGAGTGCAGCGGG